TAGTGGTATGGTAAGTAATTGTGAATTGTGCTTTGTTACCTAACCCATGCTATGTGTTTGGTATGTCTATGTGGTTTAGGTGTTTCTCATGGGCTTGCATCAAAAGGAAAGATCTCAAGTAGCCTATGTGTGGATGACATCAAGTGGTGATGGTCATCGGGTTCGAGGCGTCCAAGTGCAAGATGAGAAGCCGGAGGTTATATGCTTTGAAGCTTGCGGTCCACATCATGATAATGCTCATGTGAAGATGGGCTTAAGTTAAGGCTTCCCTCATTACAATATGAGGAATCAATTCAAGCATCTTCACCAAGTGGTTGTGGACAAGAAAGGGTTTCCAACTTGAGACAAGAATTGGAGTCATCACCAAGCTCAAGTTGAATATGCAAGGCAAAGGTATACCTTAGCTAGGTTTTCCTAGTTTTGCCGGTCTCATGGTGCTTGGAGGGAGACCGGATTATAGGTTTGATAGCCGTACTATCAAGAGGGACTCTCGGGCAAGTAGCTTGATCATGTCGCATGTAGAGAGCTCAAACCTTTGCATTACTTGCATCATTATTTATTTTTGATCTTGGGTGGTTCTCTATGTGAGGACCTTGGGCTTTTCCATAGCTTCAAAACGAGCCCAAGATCATCGAATTTGGAGTCCGTATGCCAAAGTTATCACTGTTTTAGTGGGCTGCTGCAGGCTGTTCTGAGTACCCCGTGGACACGGGGTTTTTGACCCCTGTGGGCACGGGGCCCCGTGCACACGGGCCTGTACCGTGCGCACGGTACCCCCGTGGGCACGGGGTGTCCAGGAAGTGCCCGTTGGAGCCCCAACGGCTAGTTTTCGAAGTTGGCTATAAAAGAGCCCTTCCTCCCCAGCGGTTTGGGGGTTGTTCATTCACATTCTAAACATCATTTTGAGCCTCTTACCACCTCTCCCAAACCCCTATCTCCCTTCTAAGTGAAGGGTGATTTGTGGATGGATCTTGGAGTCATTTGTTGATTTCCTCCATTGCATCCCCTCTCTTCAATCTCCCACTTTCTTGAGTTGCATCTTGTGAGATTGAGAGAGTGAGTTGAGCATTTGTTGCTTGACCTTGCATTGCATTTGTTTCATTGGTTTGAGCTCCCCGCATTGATTTGTTCGTGTGAGAGCCCGTGAGTTTATTACTCTTGGAGGCTTTGCCTCCTAGACGGTTTGGTGATATATTGAGAAGATTGTGAAGAGGCCTATGTGGCCAAGGTTCCCCCGGAAGCTTCCTTTTGTGGTGTGCTCCGAGGAAGGGTGTTCAAGTGGCCTAGGTGGTCAAGTTCCTCCGGAAGCTTCCGTGGTTGTGGTGTGCTCCGGAGAGGTTTGTAAAGGTGTGGTGGTCGCCTTCAAGACCAACCCCGAGTGAATCGAGGCTCATCCGTTGGGGGTGACTCGAAAGGGAGAATACGGTGAGTCACTTGGTGACGCCCCGGAGCTTTGGCTACGGCACCGCTCTAACGGAGATTAGCACTCTCACGAGTGTGAACTTCGGGATAAATCCGCGTCCCCGACTCACTTGTGGTTATCTCATACCCACACCCTTTACTTTCCGCAATTCATACTTGCCCATATTGATATATCTTGTGATAGTTGAATTGCTTAGTTGTTCCTTCATTTCCATATCTTGTGATATAATTTGTGCTTGCTAGTTTGCTTAATTGCCTATCTTGTTTAGCATAGGTTGTTGGTGCACTTAGTTGAGCCTAGCATATTTAGGATTTGTGCTTGAAAAGTATCCGTTAGTTTAATTCTGCATTAGGATAAAGCCAAATCCGTAAAAGTTTTAAAACTCCTATTCACCCCCCCTTTAGTCGTCATCTAGATCATTTCATTTGTGAAGATCTACATTTTAGTGGGGCTTCTAAGTGCAAGCCATGATGTAATAGGCTGGTTGTGCTTCGTGGGCCACTCGATGGGCGACAAACCGAGATCCTTGGATCATAGAACCCTTTAGTTCGAAGTTTTATTGACTTGGACATAAGATAGCGTCAACTATCCAAATCACGGGAAAAATGCTCATGCCACAAGTGTTTGCATTCTCTAGACCCTACCACAACCTTACTTGCAAGAGCAATACCTTTCTGTTGCTTATTACTATATATTACATGCTCAGTTCTTGTGATAGCTCAGTCCTTGTTGCATGAAGTTAAAATCTCTTAGCCCTTAAAACTCATGTCTCATAGGAATATTCACCCCCTCTAGTCCCTATCCTCAACCACAACAATTACCTTCATTTTGTAAGAAGATAAAGTATATTCATGAACAAACTAAAAACTACCTTGAAGCATATCACCCAAAAATCTGATGGCCTCAACAGCTTAAAAAACTCTTTTGCCTTCTAAAATATATAACAATTCAAAACGTAACAAGGAGTGTACTGAATTTTATAGTGTGCATGTAGTATTTCTCACCCATCTTACATACACCACAAGCCAAATATCATGTTGGATAGTAACATATCATCACATTTCAAACTGTTAATATTTAAGCATTCAACTCACACAACTATTCACATACTCATAGCATTGTAATTGGTATGAAGTACTAAAACCCGTCATCTCTATATTACTCTAAGCTTTTAAGAACTTCCCATTATGCACAAATCATGATATCATAGGAATTCAAATGACAACCCTGCTAGCGAAGCCATTCAAATACTCATAACACATGATTCGACATGTTGCTATTGACACCATACATCGCGGCAAGCCGCTTCTATTAAGTCCATCTTTAACAACCACCATATGCAACTCATGCCTCCACATCAGCAAAACCCCACCCTCATGCCTTGAGCATTATACTTACAAATCGACCGTTCCCACCACCATGGCTGCTGGTGCTATTGTGCGGAAGGTCTGACCACGCCATCGGCCATGCATGGAACATACACCATGCATGCAAGACATGTCCACACCGGACTAAATTTACGCCGACATGGACACCTCATGACTGCCTTGCACGACCACGTCGCCTGCTCAACGATGAAGATGTATATGTCAGTAAGATGTTCTTGTTGATCGTGTGAGCGAATTTGGCGTGCAGTGGATCGATGAAAGGGGAGGGTGGCATTGGCCATGGCCAATGGCGACGTCGATTTAGATATCACTTGGAGCCAAACGTTCACATCATTATCGTGCTTAAGGTGCGCATGTGATAGGACACCTTTGAGCAGTGGCGGAGCTTGAAAGAAAAAGCTAGGCGGGCTAGACTAAATAAGAACACAACTTTTCTAAAACTCTGAATCATAAGCATTAGTGTATGATACAATGTTACAAGATGGAGCGAGCACATATGTACATTTATCATGCCATTGCTTATCAAATGGAGAATTTGGTGCTGCCCTACTGCTGTGTGCAGTCCCTTCGGATGTATGATGTATCTCAACAAAAATTTGTCCGGCACCAGCGGGCAGGGATGTTGGAGCCTTGGGGTAGAGCAGGCGCAACACACAGAGCAAGGGCTCATGCACCGGTACCGTTGTTGGCAGCAGGACAGACGTTAGATTCGTGAGGTGACCCGCGACTAATGCGATCTGACGACAGATGTGACCCCTCCCTCCCCGCGCCATGGCCGACAACTGCTCTGCGAGATAACCGAAGGCTCGCTCCGGTGGCCGGTGCTCCCTGGTCCGGGGCAGCGATACGGCTACATGCTTCAAGATGGGGAGCGGATGAAGATGTCGTGCAGTTCCCACTCGCTGATGTGGTGCGCAAGTGCGTTGTCTACGAGAGATTCAGAGGATGTGCAAAGCTGGGCTGGGGGTGCTGGGATAGGAAGAATACATAAGTAAAAACATTGGTTAAATTACTGGGCGGGCCATGGCCCAGGTCGGCCCCAACAGAGCTCCGCCCCTGCCTTTGAGTCTGTCAAGCCACACACACAAGAATATATATTGACTAGCAAGATGCTCGTGCATTGCACGAAACATCAAGATGCATTTTTTTATATAAAACACCTGTTGTGATTGACACATGCAGGAGTAATCCCATGTGTAAAAACTAATGATTGGTGCTCGGATAGAGCGGAGACATGGGGATGAACGACGCCGGCAGCGGCCACCATGCCAGATTGTTCCAGAGGCTTCATTTATTAATTACTCAACAATGAAGTTGTGGGAGTTAAGGATGAACGAGGGAAGACCTTATCTGCAAATGTGGAAAGAGGTGCGGGTATCTTTTTACAAAATTGCCATAGTTTGCTTTCTATCCGTCAAATATAGATCGAACGGTCTATATTGCAAGATGGCAGACACACCATCATCACCAACTCAGTTTTTTTATAAGAGTAGAGATAGTGAAGAAGGGTCACCCCTTGGAGCAAACTCGAGGAGAAGTACACAAGAAACACACCACACAATACCCACCATGTGGTTTGTAACTGTTTTTTTAAGTGAGAAAAAGGGGAAGGAAAGATGAGCGTGACACCATTATTCATTCATTAACTCCTCTTTAATTATAACAAAAATTATTATTTCCAACTATAGTTTATGTTTTATGAAGGAAATTAGTCGATACCTTTGGTTGATTTTAAAATACTCCCTCTGTTCTAAATATTTGTTCTTTTAGAGATTTCAAATGGACTACCACATACGGATGTATATACACATATTTTAGAGTGTAGATCCATTCATGTTGCTTCGTATATAGTCGCTTGTTGAAATTTTTAGAAAGACAAATATTTAAAAACGGAGGGAGTAAAAGGTAATATCTACCATTAAATCTGGAGAAAAAGATATGACAGGCAAAGAGAACACGGGGCAGGGAAAATCAAAAATGTTCCCCGGCGACGGGAATCGAAAGTGAGGTAACCTTACCGGCCCCGAAACGCTCGCCCCCACATGCCACCACGGCCCGCACTGCACGCGCCTCCTCCTTCCTCCCCCTCCCAACCCTAGAATCTTCCAGAATCAGCGGGAAGCAGGGAGGGCGAGGCGCGCGCCGCGCTTCCGGAAGCTTCTAGAAGCTCTAGGGGGGAAGGAGCCGAGATGGGGACGTCGGATCTGGACCGGCAGATCGAGCAGCTCAAGCGGTGCGAGCCGCTGGCGGAGGCGGAGGTCAAGGCGCTCTGCCTCAAGGCCATGGAGATCCTCGTCGAGGAGAGTAACGTCCAGCGCGTCGACGCCCCCGTCACGGTACGTGCTTGCGCGCAGCTCCCTCTCCTTTTCGATTGGAAGCGGTTTGGGCGCGATTCAATGGGGGAAATGACGCGCTCTCGAACGAGTCGGGGTCGCTCCCCGAGGTCCCGGTGAAGATTGCGGGTGCTTGGGAGATGTACTGATGTGCGGGAAGGCTTCGATTCCGTTCGTTTGGGCAACCAAATTTCACTGCGTTCTGATTGAGATTTACTAGTGTTTGCATTAGGGCTCTAGGGTTTCGTTGGTGAGGTGATGCCAGATTTCCTGTGTCATTATCTTCTGGAGATGGTCTGGGGAAAATATTTCTCATTCCTGTCATGTCTTTTTCAAGGAAAATGATGTAATGTGTATATTCATTGGTTGTGCTTTTGTCTGGCTGATATATCTACACGTGTTCAAATAATTGTGATTTAAGAAACTAATATTTGCTTCTTGCACTCAGATATGTGGAGACATTCATGGACAGTTCTACGACATGAAAGAACTTTTCAAAGTTGGAGGTGACTGCCCGAAGACAAACTACTTGTTCCTTGGGGATTTTGTTGACCGAGGATTTTATTCTGTTGAAACATTTTTGCTTCTTTTGGCCTTAAAGGTATGCTGTTGATAAATAACACTAAGATGTTTTGTATGCATATCTATTAGTGCTGTATCTTTTAATGTTTATTGATGCCTCTGTTCCAAAAACGGTAACGGCCATTTTCTCGGTCAACTGACCCAGTAGTTACTCTTGACTACACTGCCTTACCAGACTATTTTACTTGTATGGGGAAGGCCATGCTCCTTATATACAGGCTGGTATATGGTATAGTAGACTTGTTTGTACAGCAGTGGTCAAAGGCTGGCGCTCAGCTTGCGGCGCTGATGGGCACATGAAAGCCAAGAGTATGAAGCCTGTATGACACTAGACTGCGTACGTGAACTAGTAGTTCAAATGAGTGGTGTCTAATTACCTTTTTTTTGTTGCTGGAATGGTCACACATGTGTATCTATAGCTCTTCAGTTTTGCAATAATTCCTAGCTAGAATTGGAAGCTATTTCTAACTTATTCTGATTGTGTCAACTTTGAAACCAAAGGTAGCCTTTTATGAACATAGTCTAGGCAGCTGCATCAGCACATACACGCTGGGGTCCAGAAAGGAATTAAAGTGAACTTCTTAGTAGACAATTGAGGAGAATTAGGAAGTTGATTTTGAAGCTAGTTTGGAAGTATTATAATTGGAGTCCAGAAAGGACACAACACATCCTCCATTTAAGGATGTACTGTATCTATGACTTCTCTCTTATTTAGCACAGAAGATTAATGATTTAGTTTTTCTTATAAAAGTTCTTGCCTAGCTATCCCTCTCCTTAAGCTCTCATTCAATCCATGCCTTCTGGCCGCCCTCTAGGTTCATATCATAGCCATTAACGCTCCAGTCATTATAGTGACAGAAATGATTGAATGGACTAGAACTATAACAAGTCTTTTAGAAGGAGGTGCTTTCTTCCCACGCCTCTCATGAAAAGGTGCAATGTGGGAAGTATAGCAAGAAACAGGGTTCTGCATGTCGACAGAAATGTAATCTGGTCTGGTATGCTCACACTTAAAAAAAAGTGCTAGGCGTTAATTGTGCGTTTTGCCACCGCCTTGTGCTTTTCTTAGCAAAGCGCACACTTAAGCGCAATTAAGCGCTAGGCGTTTTGCTATCGCCTAGAGCCTATACGTGCCTTTTTTAACTATGGGTATGCTACATCTCTAAGTTATCAGCCAAATGACCCTGGAGATTGTTAGGTATATACACATACTCTTGTCATGTAATGATGATGTATAGCTTCAGAGAGTAAGGGTGTGTTTGGTCTGAGCCCAATGTCGCCCTACCAAAAATTTGGCAAGTCAAAAGTTTGGTCAAGGTTTTGCTTGCCCCTGAGTCTAGCAAACATTGGCTCATAAATGAAGTAGAGTTGGTAAAGGGTCATTAGCTTGCCAAAAAATTGGCAACTTTCCAAACAAAGAGCAAACTTTTGGTCATAGCCAAAAATTTGGCAAGGTATATTACCAAACATAATCTAAATTATGATGCCTAACATACTTCAGAGAGTAACTGTTGTTTGGCTGCTAAGTGTCTGGCCTGTTTCATAACTGAGGATGCCATATAAGATAGTGTATTGCATTTTGCTGTAAAAAGGCCACCTGAAGTCAGTATAACTCTGCACCTCACTGAATGGCTGAAAGCTTTATCTTATGTCTGTTGTAAAATGCGAGAATTCTGCATGCTTGCTTTAAAATTTTGGAGAGGCCTTATACTCATTCGCGATTTATCTTGGCTCCTCACATTCAAATTCCCTAATCCAAATTCAGTAGTTAAACACTTCGAGTTGTTCTCTTTCAAGTTACATTCTGTGCCATTTAATTTCCTGTCCTAACCTTTACTATCATATTGTCTCCAGGTTAGGTACCCAGATCGTATAACTTTAATACGAGGAAATCATGAGAGCAGGCAGATCACACAAGTGAGTGACCTTTTTCAAGTTGGATATTCTGTAGTGATGTTACGATAGTTGTCATTTATTCTTCGAACTCGTACATCGCTGCAGGTTTATGGCTTCTATGATGAGTGTCTTCGTAAATACGGCTCGGTGAATGTCTGGAGATATTGCACAGAAATATTTGACTATTTAAGGTAATATTTCTATGTTGCTTTTATATTGCATGTGGTAATGCTATGAGGCTGCTATGTGGGCAAAATTGACAAATTTGACCTATGAACAAAATCAAATCACAGAATGAACTGCCCGTGAAATTATTTCACGCGGCTGACCTTTTTGTGTGATGCCCGACACGAAGGCGTCACACTACACTGTGCAACGCCTCACAGATAGGCGCTACACGCCTGGCCAGCGTCGCACCCGTGTGATCCGAAAATTACTAAGTCAGTGTGCAGCGCCTAAGAGCTAGGCGCCACACTATACAGTGTAGCGCCTAGCTTCTAGGCGTTGCACTAGTGGTTGCTTCATTTTGTAGTGCAACCACTAGTGCAGCGCCTGAGAGCTAGGCGCCACACTATACAGTGCAGCGCCTAGCTCTTAGGCTCTGCACAATGACTTAGCAATTTTTAGGCAGTCTGGGGTGCAACACTGGCCAGGCGTGTAGCGCCTATCTGTGAGGCGTTGCACAGTGTAGTATGGCGCCTTCGTGTCGGGCGTCACACAAAAAGGTCAGCCGCGTGAAATAGTTTCCCGTGCAGTTCATTCTGTGATTTGATTTCGTCCACAGGTTAATTTGTCAAATTTGCCTGCTATGTGCTTCTTTGAGTTAAATCATAATCTACAAGAGTGGACATATTTCTTAATTTCAGTTTGTCTGCACTTATTGAGAACAAAATCTTCAGTGTCCATGGAGGCCTTTCCCCTGCTATTACGACACTGGATCAGGTATATTATTCTTCAGTGTTATATTTTGTAGTTCATGCATTCCATTTCTATTACTTTATTATCATGTGCCCCCAACAGATCAGAGTAATAGATCGCAAGCAAGAAGTGCCTCATGATGGTGCCATGTGTGACCTTCTTTGGTCTGATCCAGAGGATGCTGTAGACGGCTGGGGATTAAGTCCTCGAGGCGCAGGGTTCCTCTTTGGTGGAAACGTTGTCTCTTCATTTAACCACTCAAACAACATAGATTATATTTGCCGTGCTCATCAACTAGTCATGGAAGGATTCAAGTGGATGTTCAATAACAAGATTGTTACTGTATGGTCTGCTCCTAACTATTGCTACAGGTACTTGAAAATTCAGCTTCTGTCACAATGTTCCTTTTGAAGTATAATGACGAATTATGTAGATTTTAGTTTTTGACAGTATTGAATAAGATTGTGTGTGGAAATTAAGAGAATGGAAGTGGGTGTGGAGTTTATATCAAAGCCATAAAAGGTTGCTGACATAACATGTTCTATATTTTCCCACCTGTCCAAAGCTTTTGATTCTCTGTTGCCCTGATGCTGCTTTGTATGTAATTATGTTCAGGCTACTGTGTACTCTACATTTTGAGTACATGTGATGAAACTTAGAATTTGATATTTTTTAACTCGTACCATTTGCAGAGGTTTAGCAATTGTATTGCAATTATTTTAGTTGCTATATAAGAAAACTTACTGCAATTGTTTGGATTTGAAGAGTTATGTAAGACTTAAGAGGAATATGTTAAACAGTCTGAATTTTTCTGGCGTGCTGTGATCTCTGATCGATATGCTGTATTTGTTATAGTACCTAACGAAATGCTTACCTCTTCGAAATTATCTGACTTGCAGGTGTGGCAATGTTGCTGCAATCCTAGAGCTTGATGAGAACCTGAATAAGCAGTTCCGTGTATTTGAAGCTGCTCCACATGTTTGTGCTCATGACTTGTACCATTACCTTTGTAATGTGTTGCACGTACCTGGCATCTAATTTGTCTGCCTACCTCTGTAGGAATCAAGAGGTGTTCCTGCCAAGAGGCCTGCCCCAGATTACTTTCTTTGAGACTGCACACATGGCATGTGACACGCTGTCTTTTCATGCCCTTGAGCGACGGCGGGCGGATAGGGGTATTGAAGGCGTGCCATGTTGGCAGATGGGCGCGTGCTTTGCAAGAGATTAGCCAGGAGGTGCTTTCGGGATGTATAAATCGATTGTTCTGTGTCCGTCCAGGTCTATTGTTTGTAACAAAGTTGATGTCGGTATCCACTTCTCCCCAAAATAGCTCCAATTTGAGCTTTTGAGAAAATGCCTCCGCGAAGGGAGTGGTGTAGATGAAGCCACTCTGGGCCCATGATGTAAAATTTTGATGCCAGTCCCTTCCTCCCCTGGGAATCCGTACATTTTCTAGAATGTAGAATGGTATGCAAATGTGTGCCTTGAGTTTACCTTTTCGTTGCATTGCAGGCAGCTGTAGGAAATCTTGTAGTAGTAGTTTTGATGTTTTGCATGGAAGTATTCTAAGGAAGCACACATCATTATTGCTGCCGGTAAATTGGAACCGGATCGTGTTGCCGTTTTATGATTGCTGTGGAAGTGTCTAGTTGTCGAGATTGGTTCTTTTGCGTTCCCAACCTGTTTGCTTGTGGTTTTGCCTAGGCACTCCTCGCCGTACCTGGTGCACCTCACCGCCCCACTCTCAATCAACTGATCAACCAGCAAAGGAGTAAACCAACCAGCAAACACTACAACAAAGGAGGAGCAGATCAACTAGCAAACTGAGGGAGTGCAACAAATCAAGGTCTACTACATCAATATCAGTTCATATCAGCAGAGCAAAAGGAGTGCTGCTGATCAATATCAGTTCAATTGTTCATCTATTGCACCAAATCAACTGATCGTCCACAACAAATCAGCAAATCCAAGGAGTACAGTAGAGGAGTACAAACACCATCAAGAAATACAGTACTCCTTTCAATTTACTCCAACAGATCAAGAGCAAAGAAAAAGTATACTTGGAGCACTTGGAGTAGATGATCACAATAGAGCTTACCTGAGCTGATCACAAGTTCAATATCAGCAGGAGCAGCAGCTGATCACAACAGTATCAGCAGCTGATCACAACAGTATCAGCAGAGCCTCAACACTTGGTTAATATCAGCTCTTGCTTTTGTTTATTGCGTTGGAGTGTGTACAAAGTACATGTAAATTACCAAGGGATTGAATATGATCTACAACGAGCCCGACCCCCGGCTTATATAGCGTACAAGGGGGGAGGGAGGGGGGGGGGGGAGGTCCTAGAGTTACAGAGCTAGGTCGACTACGTCGGTGGAGGTAGAGTCCTCCATGGCTCCAGTATCTTCAGATTGTACCCCAAGTCTCCTGGAATCTTCATGTAAACCGGGCTCCAGGACTGAATCGACATAGGGGGTCCTTAACCCGGCCCACCGGGCCGGAAACCGGCAGGGTGTGAGGCCCCTTAGCCGGGACACTATTAGTAGCCCCTGAACTGGTCTTCAAGCTTGGCTGCACCTCAGTCGCCCCGAGCCGCACATCGTCTTTAGTCACTGGTCTTGAAACATGTTCAAATGAAGCGTCCCCGAAACAACGTCATCCTGCAGCCGGCCTCCTGTTGAGTTGCCTCCGAGGTGACGTAGACCAACCCGGTCTTTGAAATTCTGGAGGTGCTGGCTGACCTGCGCACAAGAAAAGTTTTCCCGTGCAGCTAGCCGGGTGGGAGCCAAGTTCCCGCGTTGTGTAATCAAAGGTCGTCGGACTAACTCTGACAAACCAGTCCGGTCTCATCAGGTGGCCCCACAAGACCGCGTGTCATCCCTAACCTAACATAAGGTGGTGTGAGGGAGTGGGCTAGGGGCCTACTCACGTCCCGTCCCATCGTGCGCCTCGACCCCCCTCCTTGCCGCAAAATTATCATCGTTGGGGGGAGGGGGATACGAAGAGATTATGTGTCATGCGGCAGAGATAACATGCCACCATTTCATTTCCTCAACCACTATATAAGGATGGAGACAAAGCGGGGGAGAACTTTACACCTTTCTCCTCACCCGCCTTCTTCTTCCTTACGCCCAACCACTCTTCCCGGCACACCGCAGAGCTTCACCACCGCAAGACCCATGGCTGGAGACTGTTGCCTACGGAAGGGGCCGCCAGACGATGAACACCAACAAGGCTTCCGTCGTGGAGCCGACAAAGGAGAAGGTTGTTTCCCTAGCCAAGGGGAAGTGGAAGCTTTACACCATCACGCACACACAACTGGGCTGGCTCTCCAAGGTAGGATACCTGCCACCGGAGGTGTCCTTTCCCATGCTCCGCTCATCATCAAGGATGACGAGGCTTGGTCCGAGACGGTGCCCAAGCCCAATTCATAGGACAATGAACGGATATGCTTCATCCCTTTCCTGCTCCATGGGTTAGGGTTTCCCATCCATCCCCTTTTAGGAGTCTCCTCCATTTGTACCGTCTGCAACTTCACCACCTCCCCCGAAACTCGGTTCTCCACATAGCGTGCTTTATCACGCTATGTGAAGCTTTTCTGTACTGCGAGCCGTACCTTGGCTTGCGGCAAAAAATTCTACATCAAGCCACAAACGAACGTCAGTGAGACGTGTGAATGCAGTGGTGCCGCCATCAGAAGGTTGGCCAGCTCCAAGTACCTTCCCGGGGAATTCGTGGAGACGATCAAAAGGTGGCACGGGGAGTGGTTCTACATCCCGGATGTAGAGCTGCCAGACTCACCTTGGGCCGGCATCGTCACACCATACATCGTGACCCGAGTAGGCGCAGCTCCTGGACCCCAAGGAACAATCCGAAGGAGTCTGTGGCAGTCCAAAATTTATCACGCAAGATGGCCGAGTGATGTCTACTATGCAACTTTATTCTTATACACTTTATTGGGCCTCCAAGCGTAGAGTTTTGTAGGACAGTAGCAAATTTCCTCAAGTGGATGACCTAAGGTTTATCAATCCGCAAGAGGTGTAGGATGAAGATGGTTCTCTCTCAAACAATCCTGCAACCAAATACAAGCAGTCTCTTGTGTCCCCAACACACCTAATACAATTGTTAGTTGTATAGGCGGATTAGTTCGTCGGTGATATACGTGTATTATGGATGGTAGAAATAGCTTTTTATAATCTGAACAAATAAAAATAGGAAGGTACTCCCTTCGTAAAAAAATATAAGAGTGTTTACATCACTGAAGTAGTGATCTAAACACTCTTATATTTCTTTATGGAGGGAATAGCAAGTAACAAAAGTGTGTGAAAATGGTGTCTCAATGCTTGGCAACAAGACCTAGGGTTCATACTTTCGCTAGTGCAATCTCTCAACAATTTTACATAATTGAACCACATGATAATCCCTCAAAGCGTGGCAAAGAATCACTCTAAAGTCTCTATTTCTATCGGAGGAAGTAGGATGAAACCACGTAGGTAGTAAACCACCTCAGAGTTGTGTTTCCAATCAATTTGTTGAACCACCCACAAAGCCACAAAGTATCTGTCGGCGTTCTGGGAACCAGGGTACCCAGACCTGCCTGCCTACGGCCCACGGCGTGGCTTCATCGACGGCCTGGTATGGCCCAGCTTCGACTACGGCAAGACAAGACCCTCGCGAGGCGGGCGACATCAAGACCTCCCGAGGGAGCGGCCTCCTTAGGCTGCCTCCTGAGCGGAGCAGAGATTTCTATGCAAGACCCAGCCTCACGAGGCTGAAATGACATCAGCCATGACGATCAAGGCCAGGCACGCGCCAGCGGGCGCAGTACAACAGGTTTCCTCTTTGGTGCAAAGGAGGCAAGCGCAGGTGCGGAGTCCCAAGGAATCAAGCAAAGGTTGCCATTTGCGTGCAACGAGACCAAGACTGCTAGAACAGCAGGATGGATGTCATCACCGAGCCCACCACGACGTCATGCTCAGAGGCTTTGCAGGCGAAGACCACCTTTCATCAGGATTAGATGTACTTCTTGTTCCCCTTCAAATTTGGCCGTTGTGGGATCCCTTACCGCCTAAGTTTTGGAGGAAGAGGACCAAGACCACTATAAATAGGGCCTAGCCACCACCACCGTAGAGAGGGGGATGGATCGATCAACTCACCAGGTGATCAGCTCATAGAACCACCAAGAGCTCATCACAAGAACACGCCTCCTGAGGCTGTTCTTCCACCTGTACTAGTTCATCCTCAGCCCATTGCGAGGCCAATCCACCACAAAGCGGGAGTAGGGTATTACACCGCAAGGTGGACCGAACTTGGGTAAACTGTCGTGTCTTTCTCTGTCGTGTTCATCGAGCTAGGTCGTGAGAGCTGTGGATCGGGAGGCTTGAGAGGTTGAGTTCTTCGCACACGCCCCTGAGTTCGAACCTCTCTCTTCCGCTGGTTGTTTCACCCCCGCTCTGCCATTCTCATTACGAACGCTCGTCAAGTTCGTGCTGAGCGCCGAATAGCCCCTGCCGCGCGCATCGCGCAGACGGTGCCCGCTGGCAACGGTGCTCCTCGTCGCCCGTGGCCAATGCTGCCACTGGCCCTGCAACCCACGAGCAGCAGGATTGGTCGCTGCCATCCTCCATGCGACGCGACGGCCGCACCGCCACTCCATCGCTGACCCCGGCCACTGCTTCGTCCTCCCACGCCTGCCGCGGGCCGGCGACTGCATAGTCAGCGCTGCTCATGGCGCGTGAGCTTCTGCGCTACCGTCCGGCCGACGACCTCTACAAGGATTGGCCGGACCGCATCGCCGAGCTCGTCAGCGCTGCCGGAGAGGCTCCGGCGTCATCCCGCTCGCTGCCTCCCCCGCAGCCCCAGGCGGGCGACATAGCTCACGGCGCTCCTGCTCCTCCTCTCGGCAAGACTTCGTCCCCGAGCCAAGGCGTGAGGCCTCCCAGCGTGATCAACCGCGCAGGGCGCCCGCGCGCGATGAAGAAAGCTGTTGGGTCATGTAGCGGCCTCAGGCAGAAGCGCGTGCGCTCCCAGCTCCTCCCGCACCTCCGCGCCAAGACCGCATGCATCCTGAGGTGGTTGCACGTGGGCGTCAAGACCTGGCTTCCCCTCAAAGGCGAGCCCCAGTGGCCACGGCGGGATGCCATGCGTTCACTCCAGAGCTTCGTCGCGTCGTCTGGCCCGGCAAGTTCAAGCCAGATCTGCCTCTGCGCTATGACGGCACCCCCGACC